CACATGAAAATTGCTCCCATAAAGCTGTCTCCTATCTTACAGATGTCTCCTTTTGCCTGGGCAACATGGAAATTCTATGAAGGAGAGGGGGACATATATAAGACAAACCCTTGGACAGCAAAAATAAAAAGGGTCAGCTTTAAAGACCAACGCGTTTATTTATTTTAATTCATTTGTTTGTTTTCTTGCCTGCCCTTCCTCTCACAGGAGCCCAGGGCAGCAAGCAATAAAACAGGAAAGCAATTTATAAACAGGTAAAACTATGTCTTTATTTTAAAATGCATTCATTACTATGTGTTTGTGTTTGTACACGTGGGCATGGTGCTATGCGGGGAGGCAATGCTTTGCAAGATGGTGTCAAATGTGTAATGAAGCAGAGAGAACATACAGCAGTTGATCAGCTAATACAAACAAGATGTGACGTCAGGGAGCTTACTTTGCATAACTCTGCATGTGAGATATATACAAAAATTTTAAAAATTGTCCAGTAGCACCTTAGAGACCAAATAAGTTTGTTTTTGGTATAAGCTTTCATGTGCAGACAATTTTTTATTTTTTAATAAATTTTGACTGTGTCAGACCAACACGGCTACCTACCTGAATCTGCATGTGAGATCATTACTGTTTGCTCTGTATTGTTAACCAAGCTAAGGCACAATTAAGGCTCAATGAAATTGTGTCAGATCTCCGGTTCAGCAGCCTGACAAAACAATTGTAGTGCAGATTCTGGTCTGTAGTTCAGAAGGTCCTCAGCGACAAGGTTGTGTGCTGTATCATATAATCTCAGCTCTTCCTATGAAACAATTCCCGCTGTTACCTGCTCTGTCTCAGACACTGTGTGGCTGCTGTAGCAGGTGATGTCTTCCTTTCGTTCAGGTAGTAAGGAGCTGCGTCAGACAGGTGGCGTCACCTTATAACGTCAAGAACAGATGCTGCGCTGTTGGCAACAAGAATCGTCTTGGGATTGGACAGCCAGAGTATGAGTCAGAGGCTGAAGGTAAATGTGCAGAGAAAGCCAGCACATCTGCAATTCCCAATAAGTGATTTATCCGCTGTCCTGACACCAGCAGGCGTGTTCTTTCTTACCTGATTGATGCACTTAGGGCCACGTCTGTTTTCGAATGTGCGTGTAGCAGGAGAAAAAGATCCACTGCAACCCAGAAAATTAAATGATCGATTTGACCAGTATTTTCCTCAGTCCTCTCTTGTTAAACAATAAGAAAGTGATTAATTGAGACATTAAATGAAACATGGCCTCTCCCTGCAAGGAGCTCTTATCATCGAAACCTTGCCAGCAAGTGAATTTAGCAAACCAAGCACATCCTTTGCAACTGTCCTCTCTGCAGAAGGTGTTGCAGAGGTATTCCTACAGGAATACTTTTATTCAGATGAGGATGATAAAATATATAGTGACACCTAGGCACACCAGCAATGGAGAACCTGTGGCTCTTCATATGTCGTTGGACTCCCAACTCCCATCAACCAGCATTGTCAATAGAGATGATGGGAGTTGTAGTCAACAATATCTAGAAAGTTACAGATTCTTCTGCAAAACACCACAATAATGAGAATAGAGTGGTACCTCGGGTTAAGAACTTAATTCGTTCTGGAGGTCTGTTCTTAACCTGAAACTGTTCTTAACCTGAGGTACCACTTTAACTAATGGGGCCTCCTGCTGCCGCTGCACGATTTCTGTTCTCATCCTGAAGCAAAGTTCTTAACCCGAGGTACTATTTCTGGGCTAGCGGAGTCTGTAACCTGAAGCGTATGTAACTCAAGGTACCACTGTATAAACTATTCCACCTCCCCCACACAAGGTGCTTAAGAACATCAACAATAAGGCCCTAATAAAAACAACCAAATCCTTGATCTATTTATTACATTTATATACTACGTTTATCTTCCAAGGAGCTCAAGGAGGTGTGTGTGCATGGTTCTTCTCCCCATTTTATCCTCACAACAACCCTGTGAGGTAGGTTAGGCTCAGAGAGGGTGACAGGCCCAAGTGAGCTTCCTGGCTGAGTGAGGGTTCAAACCCTGCTCTCCCAGGTCCAACCCTCTAACCATTACACCACGCTGCTTAACAATATCACTAAATCAATGAACCCGAGGTGCCACCGTATACACAGAACCTTCCAGAGTAACAGAAGAAGAAGATTAAGTTTTTGCTGTGAGGGGTTTATAATCTAAAACTCTTAAGTGAAGGAGGCAGTAAAGGGGTGAGAAGAGAAAGGCAAGGTATAAAAGGGGAGGATGTGAGAAGCTGCATTATGCAGTTGAGGGCCTTGTACAGTACTTGATTTATGGTGGGTGAGTGAAGTGAGAGGGGTCTAACAAACAAAGGCTGCTGTGGGGATCCTCTGCCCCTCCAGACATTGCTGAACAATAACTCCCATCAGCCCCAGCAAGCATGGCCAATGGCAAAGGATGATGGGATTGGTAGTTCAGCAACATCTGGCAAAGGTTCCCCACACCTAAGCTAAAGGCTTCACAGAAAAAGTGGGTTTTGAGGAAGAAATGGAAAAGATGAGAGGCATTGCACAGGCTACTTTTTTTTTTAAATGTGGTCTTTATTAATTTTCATACATATTATGACATTATAATGTCATACTGAGCCAATGTCAATGCCCCTTGGCTCTAGGTGGATGTGCCAAGTATCAGAGAATGTGGTCAGGGAGCCAGTTAAGGGAGCAAGAAAGCCCTGAGCACCTGAGAGCTGGAGAGCTCCAAGAGGGAAGATGGCAAGCACAGTTATAAATCAGAAGATCTGCATCCAGTGAGGTGGCAAAGGAAGAGGCAGTGGCCTTAGAACAGTATGATAAATTATACAGGATGACATCCCTGCGAAATGAGAAGCACTTATCTACCTCCATGCCAGATGACTGCAAACTGCGCAGCGTAAACCATTCTAGAAAATGGAGGAAATTCATGGGGCTGCCAGTCCTTGTCCCAGGCTGCATCATGAAGGAAAGGATTCTAAAAGAGGTGGACAAAATTTGCCATGCTGAAAAGCAGACAGTTCGGGCAACAGCTGATGGAATAGATTCCTCACCAGCCTGTCAAAATTCATGAAAGCATCAACCAATATGGTGTATCTGGTGTTTTTGCATTTTGACAAAAGCTTTTCTCAAAGCTTTTTGAGAAAAATGTGCAAAATGTGTGGGGTTTGTGTTTTTTTTAAGGGAAGCATTTGCCTGAGCCAGAGAGCCATGGATGCTACTCCTAGAATCTAGAAAGGGTTTGCATAAAACCCTGCCTTACTGAGCAGGATCTAACCCCCATTTAGCAGCTGATGAATGGGGGTTAAATCCTGCTGCCTTGGCTGCACATGAACAGGTGTGCGCAGCCCATGTTGGAAATAACCCTTTTCTCACCCATCAGCAGACACCACAAGTGACATCAGTTGATGAGCAGGGGGCTGTGGTTTGGGGGAAATGGCCTCATGGCCAAAATAGTCCCCCTGTTGGGGAATGATTGAACCGTGGACCCAAACTTCCCCATCTTTGGCCTATATAATGGCCACAATGCACCATGTCTGTGCGTGCCTACCACTGAGTTCCATTGCGCTTACCCCCAGGTAAGCGCATATAGGCTTACAGCCTCACTGTGCTCAAGCCCATTGTACAGTGGGAAACATCCTTAGCATTTGAAGCCTTGTGGCAGAGAAAAAGGAGGCCATTCATGCTTTTAAAAAATATTCAGCACACTCGAAATATTCCCAACACTTCATCCTCATTGTTTCAGTAGCAGCACCCCTGTAAAGTGGGCCCACCTCATTCTCCCATATTGCAGATGAGGGTGTTGGGGCTGAGCTAGAATAGCCACTTGCCCAAAGCCAGCCCAATATGTTTGGTGACCAGGTGAGATTTGAAGGCGACACTCCCTCTCAGGCCTTAGGCTGCCTGCTCACCTATACTCATCGCCATGAGGGACGATGGTTGGCATTTGTCTATCTCCAGAGACAACAGGAGAGTTAGGGGTAAAGTCAAACGGGTGGAGAGTTACAGCGCCTGCTGCGGCTGTAGAAACCCATAGGGGAGAGAGATGTTTTATTGCAGCTAAGGCAGATGAAGGCTTTCGGCTTAGCTGTTACAGAAACACCATGGGCAGCTGATCTGTCAGAAGCGTCTTGGAAAGGCGGACCCTGCTATAGGTGAGCGCTGATGATGGGATCCTTAAGAGAAGCTCCGTGGGAAAGCAAGCCTATGGAGACCCAACCGGAAGGGGAGCCCTTTTGGACATCTACGGGGGAGGTAACCTGAAGATCCACTTGGACCTCCCCGAGTCCAGCTTCTGCCTTTTCCATTACTACTCCAGCTCCATCTGGTAAGCAGGCTGAGACCCTATCTGTCTGCGGACTGCCTCGCCAGAGTGGTGCATGCTCTGGTTATCTCCCGCTTGGACTACTGCAATGCACTCCACGTGGGACTACCTTTGAAGGTGACCTGGAAACTACAATTAATCCAGAATGCGGCAGCTAGACTGGTGACTGGGAGCGGCCGCCGAGACCACATAACACCGGTCTTGAAAGACCTACATTGGCTCCCAGTACGTTTCTGAGCACAATTCAAAGTGTTGGTGCTGACCTTTAAAGCCCTAAACAGCCTTGGTCCAGTATCCCTGAAGGAGCGTCTCCACCCCCATCATTCTACCCAGACACTGAGGTCCAGCACCGAGGGCCTTCTGGCGGTTCCCTCACTGCAAGAAGCCAAGTTACAGGGAACCAGGCCAAGGGCCTTCTCGGTAGTGGTGCCCTCCCTGTGGAACGCCCTCACACCAGATGTTGATGTCAGTCATCAGATGGAGGGAGGCAGCATCGCTAGACCAGGTACCTTGGAAAGCGCTTAAGGATCCTCCCTCCCCCCCCCCCTCTCTCTCTCTCTCTGTGTGTGTGTGTGTGTGTGTGTGTGTGTGCGCGCGCCAATCTGGCTTCTTCCCCGCCGGCTGCAGCCTGCGATTCAGCCTTTGCGGAGGCAGCTAGATGCCGCCCCCAACATACACACGCACACACGTGCGCCCGCCTCCTAAACGCAGGCTCCGGCTTGACTTCTTAAAACGCAAGCTCCGCTCCGATCGGCAGGCGCGCAGACCGTCTCCGGCTCTGCAAGCATCCAGACAAGTCGCCCGCAGATTCCTCTGCGATCGGAAGATCGGCTCGTCGATTTCCACCCCCCCCAACTTCTCCCAAGTTACTTCGCCCCCCAAAAGCGAGCTCGCTCTGCAGAAGGAAGTGGCCAGGCGCCCAGGTGGCTCCGCTGAGCCGTGGCTCAAAGTGGTCAGAGGGCGATGTTGGAGGCTTGAAAAAACACCAGCAAACACCAGCAAAGCCCATCAAGGAAGCGGGCAGGTGTTGGGTTGTCCTCTTGGGGGAAGAAATGGCCGTAGAGAACTGCTCCGGAGCCTCCTTCCCTATGAATTCTTCTGACTTCCCCGCCAGGAACAGATCAAGTAAGTCAAGGATGGTGGAGGTTTCAAGCTGGATAACTTTTCTTGAGAAAGGTTCCCCCCCCCCTTCTTGTTGCAGGGACAGGTAGCAAAAACCAAATTGGTTCTCTTGCCTGTTCAAAACCTGTCCAAATCCAGCATCTCGCTGCTCTCAGGTCCTTGCCGATTTAGTGTCTCGGAAATGATGGGTGAGCGCTTTTTTTTTTAAGGCAAAACAGATAAATAAAAATGGAAGCGAGTCACTATCAAAGCTTGCTTTACAGAATGGATCGTGGGGTTTAGAGCGTCACTTTTAGGAATGATGTCTGTGCTGCCTGAGCCGCCCACTCCTTGCCTCGCTTCACCCCTACAGTACTTTAGAAAGTGCAACAGGTTGGGGAAATGGCTTCGCTTCAGCACCAGAGGCGGCGGACAACTCCCTCGGTTGCTTCTTGGTCTTTTTGTTCCCGAGGGCGCAGTATTTGCCCCTGCAGAAGTGCCTCAACGGGGGTGGTGGTGGGGGTGGGGGTGGTGGAGATCATCCAGATGTGGTTGGACCACAATTCCCATCACTATTGGCCACGCTGAGGAGAGTTGTACTTTAGCAACATCTGGGGGGTGGCAGAGGTTAGCTGCCCCTGATGTTGGCAACATCCCCTTCTCTAAGTTAATGGGAAATGGCTGCACAGCATAGGCTGGGGCCGAAGGGATGTTTAATCCAACAACATGTGGAGGGCACCACATAGGCTACCCCTGGTGTGAATGGAATAAAGTGGGAGGGGAGCATGGACTGCCACCTCTTTTTACGGCTTCGGAGGGTTTGTGTCTCCGCTGAACACATGGAGAGCAATAACAGCTCCTTGCAGACTAACAGGAAACAGCCTTAATGAAAAGCATTCATGTCCTGGATTACTCCCTTCAAACAACCCCCAAACCTTTCCGCTGTAGACGCCATCCTCTATGTTTCATATTAAGAAAAAATTAGCAAGGTTTTCAGCATAATAATAAAGGCTCCTAATCCATTTACCGGCTTGCTTTCAATAGGTTCTTTTAAGATGCAGCAGGTAATGCTTCTGAGGTCATTCAACTGAAAGTAATTTGTTTTGACTGTACAACACAGACCATTCATTTATTGCTCACAAAAGAAATCTCAAGCATACTGACTGATCCAGATATGCGCATAAACTACCTGCAACAAAACAGCAAACCCATAAGCCCTTTCACTTTGTGGAGGAGCTCACATTAAAATGAATTTTTAAAATGTTTTATTAAAAATGAGTGGTTTAGGAATTGAATGACTCACACATATTAATCTCAATAATGCTTTAAGATGTTCATGATGTTTTAAAAACCCATGCAGTTTTCTACTCCTGCTGCTGCTAACTCTGCTGCTGACAACAAACACTCAAGGCACCAGTGACTTATCTTATCTGTAGTGGGGATTGAATATTGTGTCTGATTTAAAGATAGGTAAGCTGAGTGCAAAAGGTTGCAATCTGACATATATTTACTAGGGGGTAAGGTTGTGTTCACCAGGAAACAAGTCCCATTGAAACCACCATACTAACTTCTGAGCTTGCTTAAGATTGGATGTTAAGTCCTACTTTCACTTGACTTCTCAGTAAACATCCTTAGCTTCATGCTACAGATTATGTATGGTACTTGATAGCAATAACAGGGTAAAATGGTGTGTGTGGATTTGGCAGGAGAAGAGATTAGCAGTGGTGTGCACACCTTAGACCAGGGCACCACTTGGACTGCCTAAGCAAGCCTGCTGGTATTCGGATACTGAAGATGATACTGTCTTGTTGCCATAGTTGAAGTAAAATTCAATGGCCAATTGGCTTGACTTGTGGTAGAGTGTTGGCAAAAGTGGGAATATTTCCTTCACGGGCAGCAAAATGCCTTAGGCTAGCCTTGGAGCTGGAAGAGAAACCATGTATGCCATGTTGAATTCAATTAAAAATTAGGGCTGGCACTTGAGGAAAAAGAAAGAAATCTTAGGCTCTGTTCACACTCCTGGTTGCTGTGTACTCATTGCATTTCCAGCACTGGGTTTCTAATCTGTGTTCAAACTGCATTATCCAAAATGCACATGTAACCTGGACTTCGTTATAAGATGCTAGTCTGATGCCCGGTTTCGCAAAGCAGCTTCTCACTGATTGGAGTAAAGACATTCCTGCCCCATCAATGGAAGTGACTGAGTGTGGCAGAAGAATGGCCGAATTCAGGGGCGTAGTGCTGTCGGACCTCTGACCCCCAAGTGTGCCTCATCCCATGCATGAGGTGGTGGGTGGGAGTGGGGTGCAGAGTGTAAAGAACACCCTTTGTGCTCACACAGGGGACTCGTGCACCGGGTGCATGCACGGGGCACGTGGTTCATGCCCCCCAAGATTCTGCGTCCAGGGCCACACACACACACCCTGGCCACCCAAGCTATGGTACTGGTCAAGCTTCATATACAGACACACCAGTGGAGGATGGTGGTCCTCAGGACTGGTGGGGCAGAAGGAAGGGAGGTCAACAGGAGATGGAGCCAGAACCAGTGATAGGCAGAGCCAAATGATTCCACTGTTGTCCATATTCATCTCCCTCTTGAGTCATACCAAGGCAATACTGAGACTAAGGACGACAAGGCTGAAAGCTGGGGCTGCTCCCTAGCCTGGTTGTCCTAAGGCAGGCAGGTGGGGGCTGGCTGAAGACACACTGATCTTGGTGGGGCAGTGCCCCCCTTGTCCTAATGCCTCCACTGCTACTCGGGAGAAGCCCCCTAACCACAACATTTCTTTTCAAATGCTATATATTTTAATTCATGCTTAAACTGTGTTACACACGTTAAGGAAAACCTCCCCAAAATATGATCTCTACAAAAACAGATTTATACCCAAACAAATAACAATGCACTGTTCCTTCCTAGACCTGGTAAACAGTGGAAACGTTATCCATGAAACTGATGCCAGAGGTCTGTTTCTCCTTTGTATGGTTTCTATATTTTCTTACACCATGTGGCTGCTGTTTCCTCTGCTGTCTCTTGACTCTGTGCCCAGCTCCACCAGCCTTGAGCTAAACACTCTCTCTGCACGCCAGATGGCACTGTGGGAAGATGAGGTGACTAGCTACAGTGACTATGTACCTTGCCTTGTGTCATTTGATGAGAGTCACGGGTGCAAAACCTAAGACCCTCTCTGTGTCTTTAGCATCAAGCTGTCACACATGAGCAGTGCAGAAGTTTGGTAGCTTGTTCCCTGGAAGGGCTCCTGTGCCTTCAAGAAGTGCTTCACAGTCAGAAAGTTAGCAGTTGTTGAAACCAGAGGCCTCTGGAAAACCCACAAGACGACATGAGGGCAACAGCCCTCTTCTACTGTTCCCTACAAACCAAGATTCAGAGGTATAATGTCTCTGATTCATCTTAAAACAGATCTCTCACATCCAAAGCTCTGTAATGTAGAAGAGTGAATTTCAGTTGATCCAGGTTTTCTCAAGAGAAGTAGCACATGTATGATTCTACGAACTGCATCTCACATTTGTGGGTTTCTTTTCCTTTATTGCACTGGAAGCAAGATAAGGCTCCCTTACAGAAGTGCCTGTCCCAATGAGCAGGTCAAGGAGGTTTAAAGCGTTCTTGGAGCATGAATTCCTATTGTGTAATTTTAAATAGGTGGCCCCCAGACAGTCGTCTTCTTTTTTGGTGAGGATGGGTATAAGAATGTCTATTTCACAAAGCTCGCACAATGCTTAGAAAAGAAAACCTCAAGAACTTGTCTGGCCTTGAGCACACTGAGTGCCTTGAATTGGGGAAGGAGGAAAATATTTGCCGCTCAGTGTCTGCAAAATATCTCCAGCTAGACCTGCTTTGCAAACCCAGGCTCTTCAGGCAGAAAGATCTTAAATGAACGGCTGAGGTTTGAACATCTCTCTGCTTCCTTAGTCTCCATTTCGAGGGCTTCCAGACTGGGACCAAATATTGCACAGTTTGTGCTGTGTTCCTGAAGTTGTTCAGGTTTCCAGCTGATGAACTGTTCCCAATAATCTCTGGTATTCATGGAAAACAAAGTAGGGGAGCCACAGAACTATGCTGTCACCCAGTAGGTGAGAAGGTGATTGAATATGGGTGGGTCGAGTACAAAAAGGTGGCTGTGAATTAATCCCTCCTGACTTCAGGCAATAAGAAAGCTAGGAAACAGTGTTGGGTATGACTGGAGAGTTAATCATACCATCAAACTGCAGTAATGAGCCCTGGGGCACTTCCCCTGGATTAATAACTAGCTGGGAAAGAGTGACTGCAGTTCACGCACAACTGAAATGAGGCCCCATTAAGTCTGAGAAGGCAATTAAGCCTCCTAGAAATGAACTGTGCCAATGTTTGTCTTTTGTTTATGCCTTGAATTTGACAAGGGAGGGAAATGCCTACAAGGGGAAGTGGGGGTGTACTGTTTCATTTTGGATGGATGACTCATCATATAAACATCTGGATAGCTAGAAATCTCCATTCAAAAATTAATACCTGTCCATCACTCAGATACACTCTGTCTGGTCCCCTTCGTCTTAAAACCAAGAAGTGATAAAACACAGAGCTCTCCTCCCCCCTTTTTTTCTTTCTTTTGCAGAGTGTCTTAATCTTTAGCAAACGCTCAGGTTTTCCTGCTTTGACCCAAGGCAGGCGGGCAACAGGCTATTAGAATTGCCAACTTCCTCTCTCTCTCCAGCTTCTGCGACTTTGACAACGGGTGCGACTGGAAGAAATTCAGCAAGGCAATGCTTTCCCCATCGCTGCATCTCCATGCTGGGGAAAGCTTAACCTAATCAAATTTCTGTTTATCATGAAACTGCTAAAAACACAGGAGCCCTGTTAGGGTGGAAAAGTGGGCAACTACTTTCTATGAAATGTTTAGGAAGAGAAACACTGTATCTGTAAATTCCATATTGTGTGGTATCTAAAGAAGGAAAGGTCCACACAATGAGGCAAAGTCCCTGGCAGTGAAGTCACTATTATACCCTTTGCAGGCTAGATTCTGCTCCCTTGACAACAGTTATTTGCATAAAATTTGCTGCTTGAGCATATTCTTCTACGCCAGGGATGGGGAACCTGTGACTCTCCTGATATTGTTGGATCCCCAGCTTCCATCAGCAACCATGGCCAATCTTATCATCTTATCTTATCTTATCTTATCTTATCATCTTATCTTATCTTAATCTTATTGTTGCATCTATAACTCACCTTCTTCTCAAAGGAGCTCAGAGTAGCATACATGGCTCCCCCACCCTCATTTAATCCCCACAACAACCCTGTGAGGCTGAGAGGAAGTGACTGGCTTCATGAGTGAGTGGGGATTCCAACCCTGATCTCCCAGGTCCTAGTACAACACTCTGACCACTACATCATACTGGCCAATGGTTTGGGATGATGGGAGTTGTAGTCCAGCAACATCTGGAAGGCAGCAGGTTCCCCATCACTGTCCATTCCCTATCCCATCGGTGCTCACCACAGCTTCCATTTTCAGTGAATGACCAGATCATATGGAAAGGATGGCAGAGTTGTAGCCCACTGGTAGAGCATCTGAGGTCCCGGGTCCAGTCCCCGACATCTCTAGGTATGACTGGAAGGGACCCTTGTCCGAAATCCTGGAGAGCTGCTGCCCATCAGTTTAGAGTAGACAACACTGAGCAAGATAGACCAATGGTCTGACTTGGTGTCAGAGAGTTCCCTGTGTTCCTGCTCCTTTCATAGCTGTGTAGAGCTGTCTTTTCATGACAGATTTGGTGGAGGAGAGGGAGGGAAGAGATAATAAACTGCACTCATTTGTAATTGCCTCTTCACAACTAGTAATGCTATAGGAGTGCTTCCTCCTTTGCATCCAGCCACCTGAGTCATGAATGGAGCTGAGGCGATTTGGAAACATTAGGTGCCAAAGCCCTGCCGTCCTTGACAGTGCAGATACTGAGCAGCGATATTTTTAGAAGTCATGTGGAATTAATAAACTAGCTTCACATCATGTAACAATAATCTGAAGAGACTATTGCCCTCACATCCTACTTGCGGACTTCCCAAAAGGTATCTGGTTGTGGGAAACAAGATGGCGGACTAGATTAACTTGTAGTCTGATGAAGTGGGTCTGCTCTTCTGTTCTGACACGTGTAGCTTAGGTCTTAAATGTATGGAGCTCACAAATTGGCCCTTCCTGTTAGGAAACAGAAGCCTGGCTCTCCAAACAAATATCACCTCAGAGGGCTACAAAGTGCAAGGACACTCACTATTCTTTTTATATATATATATATTTTATTAATTTCAACATACCAATTATTATACATTCCACAGAACTTCACATCTTATACAGTCTTTTTGGACTTCCATCAGCACCTCTGATGATCCACCATTTTTATCATTTCTTCTGCATTTCTTAAATTCCTATTGCCTTTAATTATCTTAACTCACATTCCACCTCTTTAACCATTTTTGCAATAATTCAAATAATTTACCTCACAAAACTTCTTGCAAACCTACAAACGTAATCTGGTCATCACAATTACTTTTCAAATAGTCCGTAAAATTACACCAGTCTTCTGTGAATCTCTGGTAGGACATTCACTATTCTCTCTCTTTCTCTCTTTCTCTGGCTTGTTTTTGGCAGTGGTGGAAAGGCCGACTCCCTACACCAATGTGATCATGCCGAGTTTGTTCGGCATCATTTGCTTCCTCGGCATCGTCGGGAACCTCATTGTGATCTACACCATTATCAAGAAGAAGAAGCTGAGGTGCAAACAGACAGTGCCCGACATCTTCATCTTCAACCTCTCCATTGTGGACCTGCTTTTCCTGCTGGGCATGCCTTTCCTCATCCACCAACTCCTTGGCAACGGGGCCTGGTATTTTGGAGCTCCTTTATGCACCATCATCACTGCTCTGGACACCAACAGCCAGATCACCAGCACCAATATCCTGACAGTCATGACCTTGGACCGTTACCTGGCCACCGTCTATCCTCTGAAGTCCACTTACGTCCGGACGCCATGTGTGGCAGCCTTAGTGATTGGCCTGGTGTGGCTCCTCTCTCTCCTGACTATCATCCCAGTGTGGATGTACGCGGGGCTGATGCCTTTGGAGGATGGGAGTGCCCGCTGTGCCCTTTTGCTTCCCAACCCGGAGACTGATATTTACTGGTTCACCATCTACCAGTTCATGCTGGCTTTTGCCATCCCACTGTTCATCATCTGCGTGGTCTACTTTAAGATCCTCCAGCATATGGCTACCACTGTGGTGCCCTTGCCCCAGAGGAGCCTCCGGGTACGTACCAAGAAGGTCACCCGAATGGCAGTTGCCATCTGCTCTGCCTTCTTCATTTGCTGGGCGCCCTTCTACATCCTTCAGCTGGTGCATCTCGGCATAGACACCCCTTCCGTGGCCTTCTTCTATGCCTACAACTTTGCCATCAGCTTGGGCTATGCCAACAGTTGCCTCAATCCCTTCCTCTACATTGCCCTGAGCGAGACCTTCAAGCGCCAATTCATGGTGGCCATTCGTCCGGCCAAGGAGCAGTTCCGGGTCAACAACAACAACAACAGCACAACAGAAGCCAGCGTGTGCCTGAAGCTTGCCCCAGAATCCACCCAGCAGACTCAGTTTCTGGAGGACTTTTCTCCGCACTCCTTGCCTGTGACGGTTGCCGTTCACTGAGGACTCCGTTAGTCCTGCAGCTACGAGACTACGAAAAGCTTTTCCTTCACAATGCTGCAAGGGATGGTGGGCAGGTGGACTGATTGGGGCCGGTACTGTCATTAGGCAAGCTGAGGAGGTGATGGAGGCTTTCCGTGTAGGTGACTTTCCTCTGATACTTGGTGAGAGATTGCCAGTAACTGCAAAGAATGCAAAAGCAACCACCCCAGTTTGCAAGAAACCTAGGGATGAATCAGAAGAAGGCATGATGATGAAGCCAAAATGATCAGTTGAACAGCAAATGGACAAGGGCATGCAAATAGTATGAAAGCACAACAACTTCCTGCCTTCAATGGAGCTGAGTAACTTCTGTCTAACGCAGGATAACCAGCATAAAAAAATACACTGGCCATAACCAATTATTAAGCAAAGAGTAAAGCAAGTGGAGATTCATTTTCTGTGTCCATGGCAGTATGAACCACAAACAAATAATGTCCCATCTCCTGCATTGTAACACCTCATACAATGCCTATTGTCTGGAGAAGTGCCAAGAAAGACTTGGGTGAACATAAGGAAGGATCACAGCTTGCCCAAGGATGGAGTAAGGAAAGGCATTAAGGGCCTGTCAGTAATTCCTGGTGTCACTCACTGAAGCAGGCGAATGGCAGTAGGCTTCAACTTCAGAGTCTTCTTAGGAGTCATTCAGTCATGTGACCACTGGAGGCTGCTCCTGAATCTCAACAGTGGTGGGGATGCAGTTATGGGGAAATCTCAGCCTCTTGGTTTCTCCCTTTGACACAGCTGCTGCAGAGCTTCTGACCACAAAAAGTGGAGCAATCCTGCTCTTTGCTGCATATACTAATAAAGGAGTGTTGCCACTTCTGTGTAGAAGGGATGAATAACTTGCCAGGATTAGGGCTGTTGTACCTTGAACAGTCAAAAGATACAAGACCCCAAATGCTTCAACAGATGCCATTTGTTTTGTCACAGTCCTGAACGACTTTGAAGAATTGTTCCTGGCAAAATTCCCTCATTGTCTTTGTAACTATTATGCTGTCGCTACATCGTCCCAACCCAAACCATCACCTATGGTTCTGTGATGAGTAGAAAGACGATGAAACTCAGCTAAGCTCGTTTTCTTTCCTTTGCAAAGGTTTAACAGCTTCTTGAAGTCAAATGGGGTCTACTGAATAAAAATAACAACAAATCCTCAGCATTTGGTGTGCATAAAAGTGCTTACAGAGAAAGGGGTCTTTTGGGGAGGTGGACTCATAAAGAATGATTGCATGCATCTGACCAACATTGCCAGTTTTTCAACCAGCATCTGGAGCTGTGTGTTTTGAAAGAGCTTGAGATTGTTCAGAAATTGGCAGGTGAAGTTTTTCACAGTGTGGAGGAGCTCATTTTATAAGGTGCTAGTGGCTGCAGGTCAAGTAGCCAGTACAGAAACAGCAGCCGGTTGGGAAAAGTGGCATTCCAATGCTCCCCATCATTCATCAGTTTATTCCCTTTCAATTAAATCGTGCAGTCAGCAGTGAAGAAAAAGCTACTGCTTGCTAGCAACTTCAAAGAGGGTTTTGGGAACTATTTAATTGCCTTTTCTCGACTTTTCTCAAACCTCAGGTGGCTAAATGCAGCTCTGATAAGTCGCATCACACTGAACCAGACAGTTTATCGTTAAGGCTCAATCCAGGACTCATTAGCAGCTCTGGCAAAGCTTGTATGGAGCCAGTGTGGTGTAGTGGTTAAGAGCGGTAGTCTTGTACTCTGGGGAACCGGGTTCGATTCCCCGCTCCTCCACATGCAGCTGCTGGGTGACCTTGGGCTAGTCACACTTCTCTGAAGTCTCTCAGCCCCACTCACCTCACAGAGTGTTTGTTGTGGGGAAGGAAGGGAAAGGAGATTGTTAGCCACTTTGAGACTCCTTAGGGTAGTGATAAAGCAGGATATCAAATCCAAACTCTTCTTCTTCTTGTCTGGATGGTTTGTGCAGCGGTGGAGCATATGCCTGCGCTGGCCAGTGCGGGGACGATCCTGAGGGGGGTGGGGCACAGAGGGTGCCCTCCCACGCGCCACATTTCAGGGTAGGAGAGGGGCAGGGAAGCTGCTGCTCGCTCTCCTCTACTCTCTGCAGCCGGGTCAGACATTACCCGGCAACAGAGCTCCTGCGGTCAGGTTTGCCTCACCATGGCTGAGGAGGGCTGTTCTCTGCTGCTGGGTCAGAAGAGCTGCTGCCGCCGGATGCGAGGTGTGCCGCCCACTTGCCTGCCATTTTGTCACACCCCTCCTCAGTCATGACACCTGGGGCAGGCCGCACCCCCCTTCCTACGCCTCTGGGTTTGTGCTACAGTCTTTTTCCCCTGCCTGATCAGAAATGAGGGAAGAAATGAGATGATGAATGCAGGAAAAATACAGTGCAGTTATGTAAATATAAATTGTTAAGTGTCGTTTGCTGATGTAACATGCTGAAAATGGGAGCTTACATGAGCAACGTTATGTTTTGAGCATGTGTTTGAAGAATAAAGGAATTCAGAAATTCTGCTTTGTTCAAAAATCCCAATTCTTTTTTGGAACCACCCTGTTTAGGGAAGCTTTAAATGTTTGATGCATTACTGTATTTAAATATTTTGTTGGAAGCCACCCAGAGTGGCTGGGGAAGCCCAGCCAGATGGGCGGGGTATAAATAATAAAACATTATTATTATTATTATTATTATTATTATTATTATTATTATTATTATTATTCCCAATATATATTGAGGGGTTTATACACTGTCCTTCAATAAAATTGCCAAAGCAGCTTACAAAACACATGAATAACATTTACTGCACAGTGCAAGATAACAGAATTTATACAACCTTCCATAAAGGAATCACTACTCACTATTTTAGTGTGTGTTCTTGCATTACAAAAGGTATAAAAAACACACACACAAATATAAAACACGCAAAAATAAATAAATACTAAAACAATAAAAGAACATGGAACAGCATCAAGCAACAATAAACCAAGTCGTGATAAAACACAACTGAGGTAAAAGGCCTGAGAAAATTATAAAAGGCCTTTGCATGGTGTCAAAATGGCATCAGGGGAGATGGCAGGTATGCCTCCCTGGGCAGACCATTCCACAACCAGGGTGCCACCACTGACAAGACGCTTCCCTCAGTCGCTCTTTACTGAACCAGAGTTCTTGCAACCATACAAACATTACCAACAGCAGCAACAACAACAACAACAACAAAAAAGAAAAGAAAGGAAAACCCTGAAGTATGCAGACAGAACTGAGGGGAAACAGATTGCTTTTCAAAAATTGCGAATACTGCCACACATTAATTAAAGGTGCATCCTGTGGTGTTAGCGACATCTCAACTCAGTGCCTACGAGGCATTTTCACTTAATGAAGAAAGCACAGAAGAGACAACATAAGCAGTGGATTACGCTGCTCCACTGCTGTGAAGGAATCCCATGAGAGAGATTCAGAAGTCTAAAGCAGCTTGTTAAACAACGATCTGAGGATGCAGGGATGGATTTGTTGTACTGGAACATTAATGTCATCTCCTCATGTCCCCAGGCACACACCTGCAGCAGCCACAGCAACCGAGCATGGCCAGAGACTGGTTGGGAACCAGTTGTATCCCTCACTTGATTAAAAGTGGGGTTCAACTATATTCTGCTGTTAAGCCTTTACTGAAGCTTGCTGTCCTAGTGATCATCGGTTTGCAGCTTTGTTGATGAGATTGCCAGTAGGTCTGGGCCTGGGTATACAACAGAGTTTGTTTGTTTGTTTGTTTGTTTGTTTGTTTGTTTGTTTGTTTGTTTAAGATCAAGCCCTCCTTGGAGAAAGCAATTCTCAGTTCTTACAGAATTGTGCTACGTGTGAAAAATTGCCTCAGAAATAAAGTAAAAGCAAACCAGTACCGAAAGCTGCATTACACTTCGATTTTTGACAATGCAACCCAAGACACAGTTTTCCAGGAAATAAGAAAAATGCATATCGATCATTTAAAATAGAAAAGAAGTTTGGTACATTGGGTACTACCTAAGTACTTCCCAACCCATAGCCTGGTTATTTTATAATTAATTGATTAATTTGCAACATTTCAGGCTCACAAAAGCCACCCCTCCCCCCCAAAAAACTAGCTCAGAAAGCATGATTTAAACACGAAGAACCAAAATAAAACCATCAGCTATTGACTGATGTCTCGTAATGTGTTTCTTCTAATGTTGTACTGAGACCTTTCGATAAAGGGTGGTATATAAATTTAATAAACAACAACATCAACATCAACTTAAAAAATAACCGAGACACCATAACAGCAGCATCATAAGGCAGTTACTCTGAGGATCAAACCATTTCAGAAAGCATATTTAAAATAAAAGCTTTGACGGCGTTTCTGAAGGTGTGTTGGAAAGGGGGATGGATGGGCTTCTTGAGGGAGAGCACTTCAGAGTGAAGGTGCCACCACTGAGAAATCCTTGCCCCGACATTCTCACCAAGATGGTAGTGGGACATGGAGCAGTTACACCAGAGCTGGTGAACCCGTGGCCCTACAAATGTTCCTGGACTACCTCTCCCATCATCTCTGATGGTTGGCTGTCCTGGCTGAGTCTGATAGGACTTATGAGTCCAGCAACATCTGGGTATATTTAAATAAGAGATGTGTGAAGAGCCTCTCTCCTATTTAACAGCGGAGGGAGTGCTGTTACAGTCATGTCTTGCTTGTGGGCTTCTCCACAGGCATCTGGTTGGTCCCCGTGAGAACAGGATGCTGAAGTTGATGGGCCATTGGCCTGATCCAGAAGTTCTCTTCTGGGATAGCTCAGCTGGTAGAACATGAGACTCATGATCTCAAGGTCGTGGGTTCGAGCCCCATGCTGGGCAAAAGATTCCTGCGTTGCAGAGGGTTGCAGCAGATGACCCTTGTACAGTGGTACCTCAGGTTAAGAACTTAATTCATTCTGGAGCTCTGTTCTTAACCTGAAACTGTTCTTAACCTGAGGTACCACTTTAGCTAATGGGGCCTCCCACTGCTGCCACCACGCAATTTCTGTTCTCATCCTGAAGTAAAGTTCTTAACCCAAGGTTAGCGGAGTCTGTAACCTGAAGCGTCTGTAACCTGAAGCATCTGTAACTCGAGGTACCACTGTAGTCCCTTCCAACTCTACAATTCTATGCATCTATGAGCATTTCAGCAGGCGTACCTACACTGGTGATGAGTGTCCCTCTATTAAAGGTGCAGAAGCCCAGACTTCTTTCAACCCACAATCAGCTCTCGTGCTTAACTGTCCCGAGCAAATTATTGTTCTGAAACCCTCCCTATGTTGGTGTCTACAGTCTTGTTCCGGGTGCAGCCAACACGCTGTCCCCGTTCACTTCTGAAGATGGTGACTGATGGGGAACTCTTGACAGTGCCAGCAATAACAAGCTCCTTGTTGGGTGTGATGGATATTCCATTTCTCCCTGGGTCTGGGGGCATTATTCACACTAAAGTATATTACTCATCCTTCTGGCAGGCTGGTAATGAGAGGCATCCTTCTACTTCTTGCCTCCTCCCACTGTGGATTTCAGATGGTAGGTGAAAAGCCTGCTGCTGACTCCCGTGAATGCTGCATCATAATGCCCCAATCAAAATAATCATTGCTCTTACGCAAAACTGTGCCTAATCAGATATGCATTGTGTTACTACAGCGAATGTACATTCCCCCCCCAACAAAAGGGAAAGGGGATGTCAGGACCACAAGTGCTTTCAGCGAGAGAATCTGTAACCAGTCAAGCTCAGCATAAGCAATAAAATACCACATTTCCCTGCTTCCGTATCCTCCAGCATATCTCCAATGAAAATAGGGATGTCCTACTCAACAACAAAAATAATTTTATTATTTATAGCCCACCCATCTGACTGGATTGCCTCAGCCATATTAGGTGGCTTCCAACATACACAAAAACATAATAAAACATTAAACATTAAAAAAAAACTTCTCTGTACAGGGCTACCTCCAGATATCTTTTAAAGGTTGTATAGTTACTTCTCATTTGCTTGGGGGTTGCATAACTCCATACCCTCTGATGAAAATAGGGGCGTCCTAAGTTAAAGCGGGGCATTCCAGGATCAAATCAGAAACTGGGGTGGCTTATGTAAATCCGTCCCTGGAAAATAGAGACACTTGGGGGGGGCTGCGCTTCTCATTCTAGTTTTGAGAAAAATGGAGTTTCTGAGAGGATTCGGACACTAAGAAAGCTCAGTGTGGGAAAGTGTGCAAACTGTGTACAGGTGTCATGCGTGGTGACACACACACACACACACACACACACACCGGTATCACTACATGAACACATCTTGTGCATTAGGGTTGCCAACTTTAAAACTAGCATTTGTAGCTGTGCCTTTTAACAGCAGCCGGGTCAACAGCAATGAGCAGGTGATAATGCCTGTCTCAGAGGGGAGTGCTAGAAAAGGTGCAGAAAAGGGTAACCAAAATTAGAGGGGAATGAGGCCTGAACCAACTTCCTTTGAGAAAAGATTACACTTTTGATTGCAGCAGGATGCAATATGTTTACAAAACTATACATGGTGGGGAGAAGGTGAACAGAGGAGAGTATTTCTCCCTTTTTTGTTAACAATAACATGTCAGCCGCATCCTCAGTGCCCAGAAGGCAGTCAGACAGCGAATCTGTCCGTTCCCCCAATTTGTACTGCATATTTTCCCCAAACCCACAGCGATCTCAAATGCTCACTCGCTGTGACTCACAGCTGTTCTCCGCCCATCATTTAGGGGGTACAGTCTATAATAAACTGTCTCCGCAATGTTTG